ATTTGTGAAGCATTTTAGAACCCTGGTAAGTGAAATATGATTTCTTGTCAGAGTTATGGTTCATCTTGTGAGATAGGCTTTTAACCTATAATTTTTCCTTATTTGCAGATGAATCAGGGTTCTTTTCTTTTTTAGCTTATATCTTAAGTCTTTACATCACCTAAATTATTTTACTTTCTTATTGGAATGTCCTTGCGTGGCATTCGATTTTTGTCTCTCGCCGGAGTTTAACCCAAGAAATTAGTTTGCTGTGGAGCGCCAGAATGGTAGAAAAAGCTGCTTAGCTGTACGCCATGGTCTGGAGCCTGGGAGTGCTGACCCGCCTCTTACACCACGTGGGAACCGGAGAGAAAAGTTTCGGAGTTGGTTTGATTTCATTTCGTTCGGTCTGATCCAAGGTCATTGGTTTGCGGTATGTAGTTTTGTTATATTTTTCTTGGCGACGTGGCATTGAACACTGCAGGTCCCCAAAGGGTGTTATTTTTCATTAGAGAGTAGGTCAATGCTATGTCTACCCTTAGAGTTTACTGTTTTGTCTATTTAGTCTTTATGTGACTCTTTAAAATTTATTTAACCTTATATTTTTCTTATTGGAAAGGATTGCATTAATGACAGTACTAATTTGTGTATAAGAATTACCTAATGTAATTAGAGACATAAGACACATTGTACTCTACAGACACTACGGGATAATAAACTGCCAATAGAACTTAACATCTTGTATTCATTAGCTGCCTCCCGCTTTGTTTTAAAAAGGTTCAACGCTGGCTGAGATGTCCGAGGTATTTGTTGTGTTTGTGGTGGGTTCTGTGTTCTTTTAAGGTGGTATCTGGCGCCCGAGACTTTTATTTTGTTATTTTGTTTCTATTTGATGCCACCAGTTCACCAATTTTAGTTTTAATTCTTTTAAAACACACCCCACAACATATAATTTAATTTTTTTAATTTTAATTATTACACCGTAAACTACTGTGCGTTCACCTGAGGTTGTTGTAATTTCTTTCTTTGATTTAAAATCGACACCTGTCAAAGTCGTGAACTGTTTTCTGTCAGAAAGATATGATGCAAGCAAATTTAGGACGTTTCCTCGTATTCCATAACGTTCAAGCTTATTTTTTAGTATAATGTGTGTATATTAAAAAATAAAAAAATATTTTTTTAACTAATGCAATGTCTATGTTGCATATAAATGAATAAACTAACTGGTTCGGCACCACAAATTCTAACAAAACCAATAATCTCGGGCGCCAGGTGCCGGCTTAAACGAACATAGACAACAAATAACCAATACAATAAATACCTGAGATAGCTCGGTCAGTGCTTGGGCCTTTAATCTAGGGTGGGGGGCAGCTATTAAATAAAGAGATGTCATAAGATTAAGAGGCAGTTTATTTATCCCGTAGTGTCTGTAGAGTACATGCAATATTATAGGTCTAATTACAAATGTAATTCTTATTCTCAAATTAGTACTGTCATTAATGCAATCATTAATCATTAAACCTTGATAATACAAATTAAAAGTAAAATATCTTTAAAAAGTCACATAAAGGCTGTTTAATACATAAAACACTAAAGGTAGTCAAATATGAACGCAGTCTAGTTCATATAAAAATATATTTATTTCAACAGTACACACACTCAGCATGAGCTTGTTTTATTCAAGAACTTTTTTTTTGTGTGATGTATGGTTGTTGGCCTCGGATGGCCTCGACAACCTTGGCCGGGCTTTTCGGTGAGCGCAGAGGGCTCTCAACCGGTCTTAATCAAGTAACATCGCCCAAGGGCACCCCCTGTGGGGTACGAACCTCGGCTTGGGGCGTTACTGGCAAACTAGGACGACCAAGACCCACATTTAGGAGTTAACGCGGCGCGCATTCCGGCCCCGGCGGCGAGGACGGAATCGCGGACGATTTGTGGTAGCTGCGCGAGCTGTGTACACTCGCTGCTAAGCGAGGGTGATCGTGTCGTCTGGCTCAACTAGAGCGTGTTTCGGTCTGCGTGTGCGTGAAATCTTGCTGGGTGTGTATTTAACAGCCGCAACCACTAGAGGGTTGGGGTGAGTCGGAGCAGAGTCAAAGTAGCTAAGGGAGCACTGTTTTATGAATTGCCTGATGGTCGGCAGCTCAAGGTCGATATGAAGGTCGACATTACGCACATACCACGGTGCTCCCGTAGCCCGGCGCATGAAATTATTTTGTAGTGTTTGTAGCCTATGGATCCTGTGTTGCCTAGCGTGTGCGAATACTACACTACCATATGTCATGATAGGTCTAATACATGACGTGTATAATCTGACTTTGTTTTTGAGTGATAATTTGGACTTTGAGTTGACTAAACTATGGAGTCGACCCAACACGAAGGCGGCCCTGTTACGAACCGCCTTAATGTGGGGCCCGAAGGTTACTCGATCGTCAAGGATTATACCTAGATATTTGGCCTGTCCTTCATCCTTATCTCAAACATCCTTATCTGTGGGGTCTTCTCCAAGGAATACAAGCGGAGTTGTCTCCTATGAAACAGAACCGCCTGGCTCTTCTCGGGGTTGACCTCTATTCTCCATTTCCGAAACCACGCGCCTAGGGCGTTGGCAGCAGTCTGGAGTTTGCTGGCTACTGATGAAGGGTCTATTCCTGAACAATAGATAGCTGTGTCGTCTGCGAAAAGTGCTGTCTGCACAAGCCGATGCTTCGGGATGTCGCTGGTGAACAGCGTGAATAGGGGAGAGCACAGACCCTTGCGGGACGCCAGCTCGGATGGGGTGGGGGGGGAGGATAGCGATCCCTCTACGCGGTAGCAAAAACTGCGGTTCGACAAGTAGTCTCGTATGATGAGTACGAGTCTGTGGGGCACTCCCATAGTGTATAGCTTATAAATTAAGCCGTTGTGCCACACTTTGTCGAAGGCTTTCGCTACATCGAAGAATAGGACTCCTGTGAAAAGGTTTCGTTGGAGCCGCTCGCTGGTGAACTCAACGATGCGGTGGACTTGTTGTACACACGAGTGCTTGGTTCGAAAACCAAATTGCTCGTGCGGAATGAGGAGGTATTCATCGGCGTGTGCTTTCAGCCTACTGTAAATTATGCGCTCGTAGATTTTACCTAAACCTTTAAGCAGACATCGGTCTATAACTAGCCGGCTCGGACTTTGGTTTGCCGGGTTTTGGTATCCCAATAACCACGGCTCCTTTCCATTGTTGGGGAAAGATATTGTTTGTGAGCGCTGCGTTAAAAATGTATGTCAGAAGGACCAAAAGCCTGTCAGGAAAGAGTTTAATGACCCGGTTTGTGATACCGTCCGAGCCCGGTGCTTTACGACTGTGAAGGTCCTTAACGATCGTTTTCACCTCGTCGGGGGAGACTGGTTTGAGGTCTTGCTCGTCTGTTGTGGGTGGTAACGGGAGTGAGGCTCTGCGTTCCACTTCTGTGTCTATTTCTACTGTGAGGTTAGGGTTTGAGTGAATTGCGCTGGATGTACATTGAAGCTCCAAGCTGTCGGCCAGACACTCCGATTTTTCGATATCATCGAAGGCGGGCAAGAGGTTGGGCCTCTTTAAGGGAGGCATAGTGGTGACTACGTCTTTCTTTAATGCTAGGGATAGCTGCCAGAAGGCGAGGTGAGTCGGTTCTAGGTCTTTTAAGGTTGAGTCCCATCGGTATTGACGTATTTCGCTCATGCGTGTTTTAACTGCCCTCTAGAGTGCGTAGTCTCATTCTATAGTCCTCGCATGGATAGCGGTCGTAGGGTAGTAGGTAGGGTAGGGTAGTCAACAGTTCACGTACGTCGTCGGGTAGGTTCCATCGACGATCGTTCGTCGCTGGTACCTCCCAAGTGCAATCGCTGATTAACGATTGAACGTGTTCTGTGAGAGAGTCGATCGCCAGTGTAACGTCCTCGGGGCTAGTGATGTTGTCGGGGATTTTGTCTAGATGTACAGACGAGATCGACTCGAGTTTCGTCCCAAGCCGTTTCCAGTCTGTAATCCGCCTATTAGGGGTGTGGCCTGTGTCTATGGAGCCTAGTCTAGGTGCGAATTCTATGACTACAGGTCTATGATCTGATGTTAGTTCGTGGTGTACCTCTATAGAACACAAGCGTAGGTTTGTGTTCTTTAGAAGTGCCACGTCCAAGATGTCTGGTCTGTGCGACATGTTAGTCGGGAAGTGAGTTGGCTCTAATGGAGTTATGATATCGAAGTTTAAAGTTCTTGATAGCGACTCCAGGGTTCTGCCTCTGCTGCTAGTTATGTGGCAGTTCCACAAGGTGTTTTTAGCGTTAAGGTCGCCAGCTATGATGACTGAGTTGCTCAGATCTAACAGTGCCCTGAGGTCGCTCTCAAGTAGTTGTCTTGGCCTATTAGCAGTGGAGCTAGGTGACAGGTAGGCTGACACTAAGGTGAAGGGTTGGTGTCCAGTCATGCCCAGTCGGCAGACCGAAGCCTCAATGTACGTCAGCGTGGGCGGATCCATAGGTATGCAGTGCAAGGACCTTCGGTAGTAGATGAGTGTCCCACCTAGGGGAGAGTTCTGCCTATCATTGCGGACCACACAGTAGTTCGCAATGTTAGGGTTTCTCTGAGATGGTTTAAGGAAGGTCTCTTGCACCAACAAGATGTCGAGTTGGTGTGCCCTAAGGAATTCACCTATCTCGTCTTTTTGTTTCGCAATGCCGTTGGCGTTGAAAAACCCTAGCTTGAGTGAACGTGGTTTGACTCTGCCTGTGGGTGTGTTATCCATTATGGGTTAACTTTAAATGTTCCTAGCTTCTCGAGCACGCTCGAGTATCTTATACTGACATTTAGGAGGGCCAATGGATTACCCTCGTTTTGCTTTATAAGGTTGGCTAACTGACGTAGTTCGATAAAATCAATGACGTTAGCGAATCGTGCTACAAGGGCTAGATCTGGATCTAATCCTTGTGGAGCGGGGTTTCTGGGTGGACTGGGTGGTTTGGGTTGGGTCGGGGGAGGTTTAGGGTGCTCCACAGTTGGTTTGGTGGACTCGCTAGGAGTCCGACCTGGCCGCTGTGGCAGTGAGGGGAAGGTCATTCATAAATCTAGGTAGAATGGGATAGTGTGGTATCAAATCCATCACTTTCGCTTCGAATAGTGCGAGATAAGCTCGATACTGTGAATAAATGTTAGGTATACGGATATTGTCGGAATACTGGGTAGCAACATAAGTAAGATGGGTAGTTCCAAACCCGATACCGCGGCTAGTGACTGAAAGCATATTAGCGTGCATTGTCTGCTGTTCCGCAAGACGATTGAATTCATCTTCGACACCTGCGAAGAGCTCGTCTTTTATTGATTCGCGCGTCGCTTCATGACGGCTTGTACTCTGTTTGTCTCTAAAATTCTCCATTCGCTGATTGGAACGATGTTTTTTGCAGCACGTCCTGGTCGTCCTCTTCCTCTTGGTTGATTATTGTTTTGAAGTGGGGCGTTTTTGTTATTATAACCATAATTATTATTAAAATTTTGATAACCTTCTTCATAGTGGGGTCTATAACCACCACGTCCTCGGAAACCACGCTGGCTCATGCCGGTAAATTGTTGATTCATTTTAAATCGAAAAGTTGCGACGGAAATCCAGTCGCTAAAATCGCTTCTCCTTAATTAAGGGGGACGGCCTTTAACCTAACGGTGGACTTCGTGCACCGGATAATTTTGGCTTAGGAGGGAGTCTTTAATCTCCGAGGGGGAGAGCTCCTTGGGGACGTTGCGGATGACTACACGAAGTAGTCTATCCTCTGGGAGTGTGTAGGTGTGAAAGGATACTTCCCTTTCACGGAGGAGCCTTGATAGGGCTCTGTGGTCACTAGAGGTGGCCACTGACACTTTTATGCCCTGTTGGGTACTGCGGGCGGAGTGGTACGTGATGCGACGTTCGTTGCACCACGTAGAAATGCTGGTCCATTTGGACTTGTCCTGGACGTAAATTGGGGGAGGGGTGGGCTCCTTGCGAGCTGGAGTTTCAGTCTCTGTTGGGGCGGGGGATGGTGCCTTCGGCCTTGCAGGGGCGGGAGTGGTGAGGGAAGGGCGAGGGACAGCCGACATCGGTTTGTCGGTCGGTCTGTCCTCGTCAGTTTTGGGGGCCTTGTTTTTTCGACTGCGTTTTCTCGAAGAGACAACTGTGTAGTCTGAACTACACGAGCTGTCCGATTGAGAGCCTTCGCTTGCGGACTCTTCGCTACTTGTAGCTGTTGTGTCCATCGCGTTCGATGGACAGGCAACCCTATCACTAACATTATCGGGCGAGGCGGGGATTTTATCGCCATAGCGGTGTTTTAAAAAGGCGTAGACCTCCTTGTCTCTAAGGAGGTCTTCTAAATTTAGGGCCTTAAGGGCCATTTTTAGGCTTTAAGGGGATTTAAAAATATTTTTAAGAACGCTGATCCCCGGGTGGATCGGCCCGGGGGTGAGTGGTTTCTTCCCTCCCAACCGGGATAGGTTGGGAGGATGTACTTAAAATAGGGTGAGCCCTAAGCTTGTATCCCTTCGCCGATCTTATTGTGCGAAGGGTTCCTAACAGCTCAGGTACAGGGGTGGTATGGGCCTAGGTAGGCCGGCACACCCAAACTTGTACCGGAGAATTGGAGTAGTAGGAGAGGGTAGGGGTGGGAGGGTGATGACTAGGCTCGACTAGGAGGTCCCCCAAGACCGAGTGATCTAGCCCCAGCCGACTTTTGCTTTGCCCTGAAGGGGCAAAGCAGGCGGGTCGGGTCACCGCCCACTCGGTTTCGTTGACACCGTAAGGTTTCCACCGAGGACCAAACTATGGTTTTTCCCTGAAGGGGTGACTCAGAAAACATTTTTGGTTAAGAAGCATTGGCTTATATACTAATAATTGGGTGCATGTGTGCATGGTGTACAGTACCTCACACATGCGCTTATTTAGCGAATGACATTAGTCTAATGGTTTCAGACATACTTAGGAATTAATTCTTAATTGATTTGGTCATCATTAATTTTATGGGAATTAACTATTAGAAACATGAGATGATGAATTCTCAGTAGTTACTGGGTGGCGTAGTGTAAATGTTATTGTTATGGTTAAGTTCCTTCTATAGAAAATATGTCCATGAATATTTCCTGAAATGGTTTAGTTTGAGTTTGTGTTAACTATAGTTCTGGTTTCATTGGTTTTCTGTCGTATTTCATTTGTTTACAGATTTCACAAGTATTAATAATACTAAGTTAATTAATAATAAGTTGTTCCAATAATATGTGCGTTTTAAGTGGGCTGTTGTTTCTTCACGATGGCAAGTTTTTCCAATACGATATTTAAGGACGATTTCTCTCTGTCCATTTTCGTCTTCTACGTAAATTACCCGTTCGGTACATTCGAATATTTTAATAGTGTCCTTTTTAAACAATGTAGTTATAATATTTGCAAATTGTTCTCGGTGACGTATGTCTTCGAAATAGATTAAGTATTTTATTTTCGGTTTGATGTAAGGTAAAAGCATCAGTAGATGACCACTTAAGGAGACAGAATATTCTTTTTAAATGTTTGACTTTAATTATCATAAGAATTCAGTAAGTTTCTTTTTTTGTAAACCCTGTGAAAAGTGTTTTAACATATGAACAAGCATTTCACCACGTACAATGGTCGAATAAAATTAAAAAAAAAAATGTTCCAATATTAAAAAATTTAGTAGTTGACCATCTAAAAACTAGAAGATGACCATATTTTGCATCAGTAGGTGACCACTCAGATGCTACAATTTTAATTGGGTTATTTGTTAAATAAGAAGCAAAATAAGATGATAAAAAAACTTTTTATTTGGAATATAATAATAATTAGGCCTTTTAAGCCTATAATTTAAATAAAGACCGACAGATGGTTATAAAACAAAAGGACACTGTCAAACACAAAGCGTAAACGTCAAACTTTTTGCCAAAGGGATTATGGTCCTGAATGTTTATGTGTTATGGGCATTAAACTTCAAAAAATATATCAAGGAATGTATCTCTGGAACATCAAATACATTTCTCGTAGAACTGGTCTTCTTGGGAGCCTCTATATGAGCAACTACTGCATCCCAGGGATAGTCGAGCACATCTTTATGTTCGGGCCATTTCCACAAACGACCATTTGATTTCATAGATGAGATTGTTGCTGTTTTTTTCGTAGCTTTAAGTACTTTTCCAGGATAAAAGTTATTGTCGTACTTAAATATGACAAATTCTCCATCTACTTTTTGCGGGGGTTTTAAACCCACAATTGGTGATTCTCTTTCAATCTCATTTTCTGACTCAATCACACTTTCTCCTGAAGAGACCACAGCATCCGAGTCTGAACTGGAGGAAGAGAATCGCATTTTTTTTTACCCGCTTTATTTTGGTTGATTCTAATTTTGTGAGAGTCTTGATTCTCTTTAATGACTCTTTTTCTTCTTTCTTTCTAAGCTTTTCAGCAGCCTTTTCTACTTTTATTCGTTCAAGATCTTCTTTTTGCTTTAATTTCTTCTGTAGATATTCTTGATAACTTTTTCCTGAAACAATAGTGGGTATTCTTTCCTTGGGACGTGATTTAGGCGTTTCCTTTTTAATATGAGGCTTGTAAAAGAAATGTTTTTTAAAGGGACTGGGAACATTATCCGGTACAGCGTCAGAAATAGTGCTAATAACACTATCGATACCGGAATTCAATTCATCAGTAACGCTAGTTGACGGTTTTGGCATGATTTCATGCATAGGGATTTTCCGATACCACCTAAGTATCGATACTTACTCATTTCGATAATACTCAAATCTTTTTTCGATACTACACAAATAAGTACTCCTCAAGTATCGATACTTACTGATATCGATACTTTTTGGAACTTTTATTAGGGTGCTATCAATGAACGTTGAAGGATAATAATTTAAACAAAATTGAGACGAAAAAAACTATTTATTTATTATAAATGTTTATTAGGCTTATTATAATTTAAACAAAAAACTTTTCAGCATTAAGACTGCCCAAAAACAGTAACTGTTCAAGGTATTTAGAAGACAATCTGTTTCTTGTTTGTGTCATTGTTGCACCGGCTTTGGAAAAAAGGCACTCGCTAGGAACTGATGTTGCAACAACAATTAAATATTGCTGTGCATACTTGTACAGACAAGGAAACACCAACTTCATGTCATCCCATTCTGCAAATGGGTTGCTTTTAAGAGAAACTACTGGATTTGATAAATAAAGAGAAACTTCATCTCCCTGATGAGATTTTTTTTTCTTCTTGTGCCCATGTGCTAACTCTTTATGATGTTTCCAAAAATCGTATTCAGGTGGTGCAGTAGATGAGACATCATCTTCTGACTCACTTGGGCTACTTAGTTGTCCGACAACCATGGTTCTAAGTTTTTGAATAGCTCTTCCGCATGCAGAGGGGTCTTGGAAATGCAGATTTTTAAACCTTGGGTCTAGAATTGTTGCAATGGCTGCATGATCGTTTAATTCAATCATCCCATACCTCCTTTTCAGCTCTCTCAATAAAACATCCTTACATTCTTTAACGATAGCGGAGTTTGGAGTGATACTATTCAGTTCTGTAGTTAAGCAATTAAGCATTGGTATAATTCTGGAGATTGTTACATACTTTTGGCCCGATGATTCTCTTGTTACATATTCAAAAGGCTTTAATACAGTTGTAAGCTCATTCAAGGTTTCCATTTCCACTGCACTTGGCAAATTTGGAGCCACTACACTCTCAATTACAATTTCTGATATTACTATTCTTAACTTTAGAAATCGCTCTAACATAAAAAAAGTTGAGTTCCACCTAGTTCTTACATCTGCAATAAGTTTTAAAACTGATCCTGCCGAAACATTATTACGCATTTGGATTTTTCGTAGCTTATCCGACTGCACAACACTATTTTTTATCCAATTAACAATTTCTCGTACTTTTATAACAGCTGATTTAACACTGGGCAACTTTAGTGCCTCTTCAACTACAAGGTTAATAGTATGGGCAAAACACGGTAAATGTTTTTTTTCGCCTAAAGACATTCGTATGGCAGCCAACATTGAACTGGCATTATCTGATACAGCAGCACGAATTTTGGTAAGTGGAATATTCCATTTTTTTCAAAATATCCAGCAGGTTTTCCGATATGTATTCAGCTGTATGTCGCTCTCTTAATGCACGAGTTGCAAGATAATACATACACATTTGACCATTTTCTACAAAATGTATGGTGACGCCCATGAATCCTACTTCATTCATTGTCTCTGTCCATATGTCCAGCGTTAAACAGAAATTGTCTATCTTGGATAATTTGGACTTACAAATAGTTATACAAGCTTCGTACTTTTCGGTAGTCATTTTCTTTAAATACTTTGCGCCAGGAACTTTAAAAGTAGGCTCCAGTTCTTTTACAAGTCGTAAAAAGCCTTCACCTTCAACTATATTAAATGGACGCATATCTTGACAGATAAAAAATATCAATGCTTGAACAATTCTGTTATACTTCGTACCACCAGCTAAAAATAAAACTCAATGTTAATACATGTAATATTAAATTAAATATTTATATTTTTTTCTTTAACACTAATACTATATGTATTAATATTATTTTGCTAATATTTAATTAAATATCTATTTATTTACCTTTATTAGATGAAATTCGTTCAAACGCATTCTTTATTGAATTGCTCAGACATAGCTCCCTTGCAGTCTCCGAGTCCATACTTGTTAATGTGGTTACACTAGAGCAATCATCACGATCTTCTGAAATTTTCGATGTTGATGCTTGGGGTTGATCATCTTCCATTAAATGCCTTGAGTTGGCCAACACTATTGTATTTTTTGAACTGAAACATAATAACAAAAATTAACACTTGATAGATCGATAATCTTCAAAGTATCGATAATACCAACTCCAACACTACCGCCATTTAACAACACTATTACACTAACAAAAACAAACACATAACCTTAAATTGTTTAAATCGTATTTATACAAAGGAAATATCTCATCACCGGTCATCAATTATTATTCATATATTATTAATATATAGACAAGACAATCACAGTACCACTGCTGCAAAACTATTTTTTATACAAATAAAATAGGTAGGAGTAGGTAGGATTTTTTATTTAACATCTTAGGAAAGCAATCGCAAAAAAAAAGAAAAGTTTAGAATCCTACCTTTCGTTGGACTTATTATTTTCTTTTTTCTGTAATTTGCCTTTGTCCACAGAAATTCCATGAGTTTTAGAATGCTTGAATAAATTCGACGTATTCCCACAATACTTCACAGACTTAAAACACTGTTTACATTTTGCAATTGTTTCGTTTGTTTTGGTAAAATGTGTCCATATTATAGATTTTGGTGGTGCCATGATAACATTGGAATAAACCGATGAATTTGATGATTACAATTAATAAAATTACTTGTAAGCAATCACTTAACACTTTCACAATGGCGGAATGGCGAGATGATTTGCGAGCGGGTGCGGGTGTTTTCTTCTCTCGCTTTCGGCTCGGGCGGGCTCGGCTGAAGTCGGACGAATTCGGCTAGCCCAGCGCGAGACAACGCGTCACTCACGCCGCCACGCGACGAATACCGGTAACTCGGTAACCTGATTAGCTGACTGTTTTTGCCTCGTTTTTGCTCTCTTAGTTCTGTATGATGCGTTCTCGGTTTTTTTTATTGTATTCGGTTGTTTTGCTGATTCGATTCGATACCAAGTATTTTTGTTTCGATACCGATTATGTATCGCAAAATTGATTCGATACAATAAATACTTGGTATCGAATCAAAAGTATCGAGTACCTACTCGTATTTATTAGTATCGGAATATCCCTATTCATGCATGTCAGTAGGAGCAATGATGTCCGATTGATCTATAGTGGTTTTAAGTGCACCTTCAACAACGCTAATTGTTGGTGATCCTGGGATTGTCACTAACATGTTGTCATCAACAGTATTAGGTAACGCAGTTGCTGTTGTTTCCATTGTGGTTTCCAAAACACCATTATTATTGTTAGATGCTGACGCATCTTCTACAGAAACTCCTAACGATTCAACCCCTTCTAATGTAGAATCAATAATTTGGTTAAATTGTTGTAGTCTTTTCAGTTCATCTTTTGTTTTCTTTTTTTTCCACAAACTAAACAGCGATAAATCAGCCAAATCACCTGACCATTCATCCAGAGTTGCATCAAATGCTACAATTTTTTTCGGGACTGATAGATTCGTTTAAAAAATTTAACCCCTTTCAGATAATGAATTTGTTCGCTAATGTCCTGGTTTTCGCTAACACTCTCAAGTGGGACTTTTACCTCCAATGGATTCCACAGAAATAAGCCACATTTCTTAAATCCATTTCTTATGGTATTGCCCATTACCTCGTGCAATAACTTGGCAAAATCTTTTTTCTTAAGCATATGAGGTTCGTCATTTTTTATTTTATCTATTCTCCAATTTTGTACATGCCTCCTCCAGGCTTCTTTTAGTGGCTTAAATACTGCCACATCCATTGGTTGAATTAAATGGGTTGCATTAGGGTAGAGTGCTACTTACCGCGGTCGCAACCTTCTGCGAGGTAGTAATCTCGCGGAAGGAGGCGGCGGAGAGGGCCCGGGAGGACGACCTCCACTCGGACCCGATCCGCCGCCGGCGAACCGGGCGGCGGAGGCCCGCCTACCACAGCCTCATGCCGCCCTGAGTGTGGCCGCGGGTGGACGGGGTGGGTTTCCCCTCCACCCGCATTAGTTGGCCAGCCGCGAGGGGGCGGCGTCCGCGTGTGCCGGACGTCGCCTAAAGAGAGGAACATCTACAATGAGACGGAGCCCGCACCAGGAGCGGGCTGGCGCTAGGAGGGGTCCGGATGTCTTAACAACAGCTGTTCCCGGATCCCTCCTGTTACAGGCGCAGAGTGGCACACCGTGTGGTTTTAGTCGGTCCGAGTCCGACACACCACCCCGCCGCAAACCCCGGAGGGGTGACGGTCCGAGGGGATTTCCACACGTTAAAAAAAAAAAAAAAAAAAAAAAAAAAAAAAAAAAAAAAAAAAAAAAAAAAAGGGTAGAGTGCTACTAACACGATTCCTTTTTCTTCACAAAACTGGCTAGTTTGAAGTGATAAATGAGATATGTGCCCATCAACAAATAGAATAACCGGTAAAGTTATTTCGTTTTTAATCAGCCAAGGATAAAATATATCAGCCACAAATTTAAAGAATGCTTCACACGTCATCCATCCTGAGTCGGTTTTCATATACCCCAGTCTGAAGGAAAGTTATCTGCAATTTCTTGAGGTATCCGCTTATAGCTGAACAATACCGTGGTAGGGGCTAGGGAACCGTTTGCATTTCCAGTTACCAACAGAGTTAAACATTCCTTGTCATCAGCATTTACCTGCTGGTAAACATTTTTTTCACCTTTCCTAGCAAGAACTTTAGGTCCTTTTGGTGCTAAAAAACATGCTGTCTCATCGCAATTAAAAATGCGCGATGCATCATTCAATATATCAGCATGGCCACTATCTTCCAACTCCTTATACACACGTTTGTACCATTCTGATAGGTGAGCACCTGTTACCCTGGCTCTCGATGCTGTCAAATTTTGTGATATCCTCATGGAAATCGTTGGATTTCTCCGAATAAATGCCTTTACCCATGTTCTACCTGGTCTTCCATGCTTGAATAAGACACATGGACGTTTTAGTTCCTTTAAGTATTTCTCTACACTCACAATTAACTGTTCGGTTGTCACAGGAAAACCCGCTTTTGCCATTTTTTGCACCCAGTCGCATATTTTATGCTCCTCTTCTGGTGTAAGGATGGATGTCGGATCCATTTTTCGTTCCATCGGTGACTTCCCTTTTACTTTATTTGTAAGCGTTATTCTTGGTACACCGAACTTTTTTGCAGCCGTTCGTATTGGTGTTTTATGAAGATGAACATCGTTCACTGCTGCAAGCATTGCAGCTTCAGTATAATTTAGGAATGCGCCATTTTTCCCAGGCATCTACAAGATGAAAAATTGGTTTTAGTAATAGACCATAGCCATAAATTCGTACCATAAAGTTAGTCAACTATTAAAGAAAATCAATCTCAAAATCAATCAAAAGTTCACCACCATGGTCAATTACTAGAAAATCACAGTCAAACGGAATCAGTAGTGGACCACCCCCACATCTCGAATTTTGTCAACAAATCTTCAAATTTTAATTACCCTGTCATTTAAATAAACCATAAACGAATAAGAAACGAAAAACACTTACCGTCAACAAGGTGACAAAGTTCCTAGTATTTAGCTTCAAACTTTTTCAATCTCTACGAATATTGTAACAAAAAACGAATTTATTGATTTTATGGTCCGTCACTCAACTAGTCTTACGCATTTGAGTTCGCGACCGGGAGCGATCAATTTAGTTCGCCGGTCTGTGGCGAAGTAGGTCGTTCTTTTAGTTCGTCCGCTCCTTTCACAAATTCCGGTTAAATAGATCAGTCGTTCGGCGTTCGCTTCGTCGCGCTGTTTTGTTTATTATTATAATGTTCATCAATCAGCTTGCAGTAGTAAATTCCTTACTATTTCAGTATATGTATTAATAAAATATAGTGGATGAATATTGCAAATGGATTCGTTTATTAGTTGATTGCAGAAAAGAAAATTATATTAGCTGTATTAATATTACGAATGTGTTTATTTATGATAGATAATGAATAAATAAAAATGTATTATTTTGCAAATAATCAACGTTTTAATATTCATTAAGTTTTTGAATATGGCACAAACAATGGTACAAAAAATATACTTATATATTAATTTTAGAGACAATCTTATACTTTGGTTCAGTATTAGCTATTTATCATGTTTTTGTTATTTTCTAACCCTTTCGGACCGGCGCTTAAACTACAAAGAAATTTGTTATTTTGAACTCGAATCTTAGGTAATTTGGGGCTGCAGATTACGAATCTGCTATTATTTTCTAGATTTTCCGGCGCCATCTTGGAAAATATATATACCAACAATTGTATCATACTGGGCCCTTCATTTCCTACGTACAATCGTGAGTGTCACATTTGTATCATATTGAGCCTAACGCCTCCTTTTTCACGTTTTTCTGAAGAGAAACACTAAATGAAATAAACATGAAAAGTTAGAAAAATATTTATTACAAATCACAAACATAACTTTGTACTAGTTTTACATTAATAATAATCAACAGATGCTTTAAATGAGATCAACTTTAGCATGAAATGAGATCAATTTTCTCACAGTTTAATAATAAGTATTAATAATAAGAATAAGAAATAATAATAATTTATAGTATTAATAATAAGTATTAATTAAATTCAGTCTTTGTTGTGAAAATCGAAAAAACAATTTCGGTCTTTGTTAAGGCACAAGTAGATGTCGCACTTTGACCAGCGACAGCGACTTCGACTAGTGCAGCCAGGAGCACAACAGCAACGAGGCTGCTTCAGAGTGTCGAATATTGGCCAGTGGTTAAATCCGTCGTACTGTCGGTCGATCGTGGGAAGAGACTTCACTCTATATCTAGAAGAGGTAGGCATATCAGCAAATTCCAGATCTTCCCTTGGTCTTTTTCTTGGAGGGCCATTCAGAAGGTGGTCACTAATAGACAATCGGAACGCCAGCAAATCTAAGATGTGTTTAGATTTCCGATTATTTGCTTTACAGTCAGCACGATACTCAAACCAAGAGTTTACTATAGCCAGGTCAAACATGTGGATGATCACCTTTACAGGCCACTTTCTGGATTTGCGCCAGGTTCGATAAGTCTCCAATATCTGGTCGCAAATATCAACACCACCCATGAAAGTATTGTAATTTTTTACTATGGCTGGACATGGGACTTCAATGTATCGTTTCCTCTTTTTATCCCACCTTGATACCTGGGTTCGCGGCTCTGCTCCAAAGGCTGTTGAGACCATGAGTACTCCTTTATTGTCCTTCCATTTTACGACGCTCATGGTGTTTTCCCTGTTGACAACCTCCTCATCTTCTCCTCTAATCATCCTATGATCTTTCTTGAATTCATATAGCGTTTTCTTCTTGGTGTTAAACCGATTAGCCATCAAAGTTCCTGTTCCTTCTAGTTTACTTTTAACTAACTCTTTCATCAAAGGCAGTGAGGAAAAATACCGATCGAAATAAAGAAAACTTCCTTCTGGGACTGTATTAGCCAAGCGTAATATAACAGCTGCACCAATTCCAAAATTCTCTGAATCAGGTAAGTATGTTGTAGAGCCTTGATAAATTTCAAAGTCTAGAACTTGTCCGTTGTAGGTAGTTAAAACGAAATTCTTCAATCCTGCTGGACGAGGTTTGTTTTTTACAACTACCTTTAAATCGCACCGACCTTCAAAAGGTATCATTTGTTCGTCGATTGAATAGTTACCAGCATCTCTAGGCAACTGCAGGCATCTGTTTCGGACGACATCGATAACAGGCTGCACCCTCCATAATCTATTTTTGGCTTGTTCTTCGGTCTGATTCACCGCTGTAACGTCTACACAATGCAAGTTTGTTCTAAGAAGGAAAAACCGTTCCCTAGACATTGCATTTGCAATCGGGTCATACCTGTATTTTTGCTCCAAATTTTCGCTCCAAATCATCTTTAGTCTTGGAAATTTTATACACCCAACTATGGCATGTATTCCGAAAAACTTCTTTAAGTAGAGAACAAACAGGTTTCATTTGTGAACCAGTATTGGCCATATAATATTGATTTGTGGTCAAAGCAATCTGTTCCATGAGCTCGACAGTAAAATAGCACTCGAAATATTCGTATGGGGTTTTAATATCTCCTGGATCACGAACAGCATCTTCTGGAAGGGGTTTGCTATTGAAGGGCTTATTTTGCCATGCTGTTAGCATACTCAGAGGTATGTTATCGTCATCATTATCTTCGCCTTTATCAGAACAAGAGGTATTTGAATATTCGGAGTTTTCTTCATTACAGCAATCCAAATCGATTTCGTCATTATCGTCACCCTCGTCCCCAGAGTCAATGAGCATCTCTGCGATAGCAGCATCGTTTAAATTCGGCAACATGGTGCTCAAACTGAAAAAAATAATTATCATTAAAAATTTAAAACACGCCTGAAGTAACGTAGGGCCCACGTCGATACAATTGTGGCAATAAAGTTCGTTACGCTGCTATGCCTGCATATAGTCACTATTATCACAAAAACATCCTATATTTAATTATTTTTCTAATCAATAACACGTATATTACTACACTTACAAAATAAAACAATAGTAGGTACTTACTTTCGCCAAGTCGGGCAGCGCAATCAGTCACGAAACTGTACGGGTGTAAACCTGTTCGCCGACTGAACGTCGGACAAAATTAACGCGGGAGGGGCAAGTTCACTTCCCGCACAATCGTACGATACTGTGCCCGGCCGCTACTAACGTAAAACTAATGAAATAAACTCGACTTTGTGACCCGCACAATTGTATTGAAGCGGTCCGAAAGGGCTAAGATTTAACATTTTACGAACAAAAAATAATATCTAACTATATTTTTAAGAAAAATAACACAAATATAATATTTCAGTACCTATCAATTAGGCAGAGAAAGTAATCAAAAACTCGAGTGAGATCATAAACTACAAGTACAGGTACTTTTTAACTTACGTATTATTGGTGAATCAGTCATCATTAAACATTAATCAGTCTTCTAATTATCAAGTCACTTATTACAACTTACATATTATTATGTAAAAATATTAATTTGGAAACTTTACTTGTGGATAATAATGTTCTTCTTCCGTTTAGAATTTGTCCTGTCGCCGAAAAAACGCGTTCGCATGGCACTGATGTAGCTACTATGCAAAATCTCCTTAACGTAAATGCGTAAACATGAGGATATAACTGACGACGATCATGCCACCACTGAAGCGGATCCTTTTTCCTATCTAAATACTCTTCATTTAGGTATTTATCGAGCTCGCGAATACCACCGACAGATTGATTATCTGGGCTAATAATTTTGTTAATTTCTTTGTCGTACTCGTCCCATATACTCTCTTATTTATTTAAATTTCCGCTGCTGCTAGACGCCGATATCTCGCTAGGATTAGGAACAGGTTCTGGAATATCCTGTTGTATTAACTGCACTCTGCCTATTTTATGCCTGAGACCTTGTAACGCAACTTCGCAAGCTCTTTGGTTTTTAAACACTCTTTGTCTGAACCGGGGGTCCAGAATGGTACACTCAGCGTATAAAATATTATTTTCTATGTCTTTAAAACGGTCTTCCATGCCTTTCTTTAACGCTGACTGCACTGCGACAACTTTTTCGTTATCGCATGTCTTTGGAGAAAACTTTTGAGCAAATTGCAAAACACAATAACTTTTGACAAAGTCACATTTTTTTCGGCGCTAATTTCTACTGTGATTTCATAGAATGGCTTTAGTAAAGGCAAGACTCCTTCAATTATCTCCCGGTCCTGTTCTTTAATAGAGAGGTCAGAACGTTGAAGAGCAACCGTTGCAATAACAGCATCCTTTACCTGTACAATTCGCTGAAGCATATCAAATGTAGAGTTCCAACGGGTCTTCACGTCCTGTATGAGCTTGAGCACGGGCAAATTCATTTGTTGTTGTGTAGCTGTTAATTGTTTTTGACCTTGCGTGCTACGATGAAAGTATTCAACAATATTTTTAACTTGCGTTATAACGTCAGTTATTTCAGTAGTGGCTTGTTGTACAACACGATTTAGAGAGTGAGCAAAGCACGCGATTGACCGCCACTCACCAAGTCTGACAGCAGATAAGATGTTTGCAGCATTGTCGCTAATTATTGCAGCAACTTTGTGTGAAATATGCCACTCTGCCATAACACTTTTCATGAAATCACATAAGTTTTGACTGGTATGCCGTTCATTATAATTTATACAGCCAAGTAATGCCGACTGAAGTTTAGTATCTTCGTCTATAAAATGAGCTACGATAGCTATATAGCTCTCATTATTTCTAGATGTCCAGCCATCGGTACTGAGGGATAATGCAGATACAGCTTGCACTTTCTTTTTTACTTCAACCGTTAATTCTTCATGTACCCTCGACAATAAATTTTCTGATCAAGTTTTTCTTGACGGTAGTTGGTAGCCTGGGCAATGAGAAACCAATTCAATAAGTTTTCGCATTTCTTTTTCTTCCACTATTCGCAGAGCATGATGACCTTTGGCTACCATCTTTACAACTTGCCTGTCTATTTGTTCAACCTTTCGAATAGGCGGTGGTCTGCGAATGTATTGGCTCATTGATTGTTGGGTATCTGTTACACTCGGCGATGCTGAGGTAATATTCTCCGACTCGGATGTTGTTTGATTCGACTCAAGTGAGTTTGAATTAGATATAATCGGTGTTTGTCTTTCAATTACTAATGGAATCAAAGCGTGCTTTGATTTCATATGCCTAGTTAAGTTTCCGTTTGAGCCTCCTGCAATACTTATTATTGTCGAACAATAGTTACATTTTGCTTTTTTTTTATCTGTGTCTTCAATGAAATGTGTCCACAAGGAACTATGTTTTCGTTTTGATGACATAGCAATAAAGATTAAAGAACCTAAAACAAACATGACATAACCTATAAACAAAGTAATAGGTACACTACTTCACATTAATCATATTAAAAGTAATAGGTACCTACATAATTTTATTTATTTATTTATTTATTTATTTATTTCATTTTAAGAAGGCTTACAGACTAATAACAAAATTTGCTTAAGTAAAATTATCAATAAAAAGGTTGCTTATAACAAGCCTCCACATATGTATAAGAAAGTGAATAGAAACAAAAAACATAAAAACAATATTAAACCTTAAAAGAAGATAATATAAGAACAAAAATTTATAAGGGGAAATATGTTAGATTGATTATATCAATATAATTTGCAGTAGGTATATCACAGTACCCACTGTTATGTATTCTCTCCACAGACAATGAAGAGAACACATCAAATGCAGTATTGCCACAATAACCATTATTGAGTATATGTTTACATCAACAACAACAACACCATATGACGATAAACTGCCAAGCAAGTCAACCATTATTCAAAAAATCTATTTGCCAAACGCCGCCTTATTGCAGCGGGGCTGTTATGAAATAGGTCAATATCTAGGTCTAAGGAAATACTGTTGTAAGTTACCGCAGTACGCAAGAAAAATGAATTACGTCTGTAATTTGCTGAGCCCAAAGGAACATTTAACAATGGTCTCTGCCGGAATCTTGTTGGATTGGCACGTAGGCATATTTTTGAGACAAGCTCGGGAGAGTCCAACGACCCGTTCGCAATCTTTAATAAAAAGCAGACGTCATTTATTTGACGTCTACATTCTAGGGGTAAGAAGTGATATCTCTTACATCGATGCTCGTAATTAGCTGAGAACTGTTGCGCTCGAAAGTCAAGGTAACGCAAAAACTTTTTTTGAATACCTTCAATACGCAATTTGTATATTTTATATTGAGGGTTCCAAACTTGCGAGGCATACTCTAAATGGCTGCGTACGAAGGCACAATATAGAATTTTTAAAGTTTTTAAAGATGTGAAAGTGGATGAGGTTCTAATTATAAATCCTAATGCCTTTGATGCCTTCGTAACAATTGCATCAATATGCTGGTCTAGCAGAAGTTTGGTATCCAACACAATGCCCAAGTCCCTAACTTTATCAACTTTCTTGATATTTTGGCTACATAATGTGTACCCTGAGTCAGTAATAGATTTCCGCCTCGAATAAGTAACACAAAAACACTTAGCTACACTTAGCTCGAGCTTGTGTATGCTACAATAAGTTTCTAATCTGTTAAGATCTGCTTGTAAATTTTCAGTGTCTAATTCATTCCGTATCACCTTATGAATCTTCATGTCATCGGCATATAGTAAAATATAGGAGTGTTGAAAACATTTGCCTATATCAGAGATGAACAATGTAAAGAGCAACGGTCCGAGAATCGAACCTTGAGGCACACCGGAAGGGACCTTATATGGTCTAGAGCAGTACCCTTGTAATACTACTGCCTGGGTGCGATTCTCAATGTAAGAAGTGAACCACCGAAACAAGTCGCCATGTATTCCTGCGCACAGTAGTTTATTTAAAAGCACTTCATGGTCGATACGGTCGAAACATTTACTGTAGTCGGTATAAACTACGTCTACTTGACCATGCTCCTCCATGCCCTGCGTTATAAAATCAATTGACAGGAGCAAGTTGGAAGTGGTGGAGCGTCCCCTTAAAAAGCCATGTTGTTCTTCACTAATATTACTCCTCAAGGCTGAGTAAACCTGTGTATATACAATTCTTTCCAGAATTTTTGAAAATAAACATATTTTGGAAATGGGTCGATAGTTTTCTACATTCGACCGATCTCCTTTTTTAAAAATAGGTGTAACGAACGCAGACTTCCAGATCTGTGGGATAGTGCCTTCCGAGATGGATCTCCTAAATAGCATACAGACAGGCCCAACGATACTATCGGCGAGTCTGACTATAAATATTGGCGATATGTGATCGGGACCACCCGACTTAGTGAGGTCTAAAGACTTTAACAAACTCAATACACGATCATGATTTATTTCTATGGAGCCGATAGTCATCATATCATTAGTAACGTCATTACCTGTCTGCAAAGTATTATCGTGATCTGGTTGTTGGAAGGTGGAATGGAAAAAAGAAGCAAATAGCTCAGCTATCTCCTCGCCAGTTTCCGCAGATGTATCAAGGTATCTCATTATATTTGGGAATGAACCACTTGTTTTCTTACTTTTTACATAAGCCCAAAATGACCTTGGATTGCTTACAATAGCGGCTTCTACTTTGCGCATATACTCCTCAAAACACCGCTTTTCCACCTCGTGTACCCTTTTACGTAGAATGGAATAAGAGTGGTAATCAGATTTATTACCATATGTTTTATATTTGCGGTGAAATTTGTATTTCTCTTTTAAAATTTTGTGTAAAGCCGCGCTGTACCATGGGGGATTCGACATCTTGCTTACTGGCTTTAAAGGAACATATCTATCTCGTAACTCGTAAAGCTTATTGTAGAAAAGTGAGGCGGCGTTATCCAATGAACCTGTCAACAAGATCTCGGCCCAATTAACTACATTGAGCTCAGACATTATAGCATCGTAGTCACCCTTGGAGTATATGTACTTGTTGTTTAATTTTACGGATAGTTTATGAATTTCTACAAACCCAGTTTCTACAATAAGAGGTTTATGGTGTTTGTCTACAGGCTCAGCCAAGGGGCTGTCACATTCACTAACCGTTGCACTGTCATTGGAGAAAACGAGATCCAAAAGTCTATCGTTAGTATTCCTCACGCCGTTGTACTGTTTCAGGTTAATTAGAAGTAAGGTATCAAAAAATTCGGTGATGTAGGGACAATTGAAGCTATGTGCGTGTAATTCGGCGCTCTCACAATTTACACCAGACCAGGCTACCTCGCTACCAAAGTTGAAATCGCCAAGTATAACAAACTTATCTAACGGGTGCGCAAGAATTAAGCTATTTATTTTATTAGAGAAGTTTTGCAACTGAGTTTTATAAGAATTACCTAAATGTTCTTACAAAGATATAGTACACAAATATTCAAATTATAGGTTACCTTCGGCTTGGATCTCTGTAGTAAGATGGTTACCCATAAGTCTTCAGCAGAACTACCACCAGAACTACACCAATTTTACAATGTATAAAGTATTTTAATAGTAACAATAACCATTTAACATTACAAATACAAGGTTGTTACCTGTTATCAGTTATTGTTGTATTTACCATAACAAAACATTCGCCACGCGCGCACCGCTGACTGGCTGAGCTAAAGAGCGAAAATGAACGAACGATGAGGAATGCATGCGCGGCAAACGGTGAGTCAGTAGTCAGTGCCCGCTCTCGCTCACAACAAATCCGCGCGCCGCGTCGGAACTGGTGAACTAAGGAGCGGTCTCTCTGCGACCTAGTTCGCGTAGTTCGTACGAAAGAGCGGTCTTCCGAACTAGGTCGTTCGCGAACTACACAAGACTACACTCAACAAACAACTGGCAGCCATTTTCTATATTTGACAGATATGTATGCGCAATTTTCGCGCTTAGTTGACCAGATGGCAGCACTGACTACTTATTAACGAATGAGTTTTAAAAATTGCCGCGAATTCTTATTATAACGGTTTATGTGCATTAGCGGTCAACTACAGGTACATGGTCAACTACTAGTGACTTTACCTTATTCTTTTAAATATTTTTAAATTATTTTCGGATTGTTTAGGGGCATGTACTTCATAAACCTTCTGCTTGTCTCTAGATAAATCTTTTACGCTTAATTCGTTTTTGAACCATGTGCATATAAGTATTTGGTTTGGCTTTGTGTCAATTGCTTCTTTTAATATAGGAATTCCTGATGTATCCGTGTTCACATCTGAGTGAATTGATGCTATAGAGGATGAGTCAACTCTTTCGGAAGCCGTGTGTTTCACTTCCTACCGAAGGTATTGAGTAGGGGGATTTTGATCTAGGTATCGTAGTTAAGGTGTCTTCGTCAGATGAGATCTCTATGCACTGTGGGCTAGTTTGTTTACCCGTATTGGCTATCATAGATATGTCGTCTAATGCGTTAATTCTTATTCTCGATAATGCATCGGCATTACAGGTTTGTTTGCCCGGTTTGTGTTTTATATCGTAGTGGTACTCGGACAGTCTAAGTCTCCATCTGGTTAATCTACTTCCGGGTTTCCGGGTACTAATGGTGTGCCTACGGCACTTCAGTATTGTATTGACGGCTATATTAAACAGATGTGTCATTGTATATTGAGAGTTTTATTACAATACTCGACACC